CGTTGAGTGCATCGGACGAAGGGTATATGTTTATCCCCCCCAGGTGGAATGACTCTGTTTGGAGGCTGCCACGAGTTGGATTATCGAGGGAGAGCGTGGAAATGTACGTGCTCCACCTGGTTTTTCCGACACAACTCTTTTACCAACTGATTTTATCTCAGAATGCACAACGACAGCAGCCGGAGAGGGGGGGGGGGAGGGGGCGGAAGCGAGAAAAAATATTGCAAAGTGTATTGAAACCTCCATTGGAGAAACTGACTCCATTCAGTGAGACTTTTTGCACTCATTAAAAATTGACAAGCCAATGGAAAAACCTCTTCAATTTCAGGAAAAAGAGTCTCGCGATCTTTGAATTGAAAATGTCACTGAATAATGAATCACATGGCATTAATCTGCATGAGCTTGTGATGGAGATAAATGAATGAATTTTCAATACCGCAATCCAATTAATTCGATGACCCGAATAAGCCAGCACAAATACACACAACAACTGTGCAATTTTTATGGACAATAAAATTACACGACTAGTCGGAGGCATTCGGGTTCAACGAACATTACTCATTAGTAATTCTCATTGGAAAAGCCTGCGGAAAATGGACTGTACTGGAGAACGGGGAGAATGCCACTTCAGTTACTTCACTCCTTCGATCTTATTCGACCAACACTTGGACATCTTGGGGAGGATATCGAGTGCTGAGATAACTGGGTACTGAAATCTATCTGAGTGCTTTGGAGAATTGGGCTGTCCCTCAACAAGCTGCATGATGTAATGAGGTTCACAGAGAAAAAATCATTCTTGAATTAAGAATAAGTGTTTGCAGATGTTTTCATTACTTTAACTATATTTTTTACTGTTTGAGGAGTTAATGAAGTTATTTATTGTACTCTGAGGGAAATAATGGAGTTGTGGGGTCGATGAAATTGTTATTCTGAATGAATCCTGTATTAGAATCAATAAAACAATTTGGGTCATCCAAATTAAAAACGATTACATGTCGATAAATTCGCTCTTTTCTAATTCTAAAGAGTTATTCAAGTTCTAACAAATAAAGTCTTTATTTGGATCAAAAAGTATTTGTTTGTTTTTATAAATCTGAATATTTGGCATGAGTAAAGAGGAAAATAAAAATCACGTTCGAGTTTGAATAGAAGCGTCATTGTGAATCCTTTAGTTAATTGAAATGAATTATACCTCCGGGTGTATGTATCGAATCGGGCAAAATCAAAGAAACATGAGTAAAAACTGGTCACCGTGGATCGAACAAAATGAAATGAACTTGCGCCTCAAATAAACTCGCCGAGGCAGTTGATAACTGCTCCGAATCAGAGAGACAGTCGTCAATTGTGATGAGTTTATAATTGTTCCTACAGACTATTAGAATATCACTCCTGAAATTTCAAGCCAAAAGTCTTGACAATCACTCACTGTTGGAAATTTGTTGAAATTTCATAGAAGACATTATAGTAAATCTCATAAGAGTGACATTGAATCGAATTTGGGGAAAAATGGTTATGAAATTTCACGTTTTAAGTAGAATTCACGGAAATTCGTGAGTTTTAGGTGGGAGTGAGATGGAAATTTCACAACTTGATTGAATTTTCAGTGAAACATGAAAATTCAGAAACAAAATGACATGAATTTTCAATTTTTCCATGAATTTTTCTGATCTTTCCGAAGTTTCACAGAATAATTGAACTGGAAAATCAAATATTTTATTGATTTCCAGATGGTTTGAAAAGAAAATCAATGGAATATTTAATGACCAAATTTCCCGAAATTTCAGTGGAACTTGAACACGCTAAAAAAATCCGGAACTTTGCACGGAAAATTCAGACGAAAATTTTTAACAGTGCTCATTCAAACAAAATTTTCATGTATTGAAGAAAAAATTTTCATGTATTGAAAAATCAGTTGAATTCCGGAGTATTCAATGGAATTGCAATTTTCAGGTCTACAAGGTAATAAAAGTTATTAAATAATTTGAAAATTCAAGCAACAATTTCCTTAACTTTTCAATCCACTGAAAATCCAGTTGGATGTAATTCAATTTCCACAATGAATTTGAAAATTTAAGATGTCATTGAAAGATCAGTAATAATCTGACATGGAAAACCTAATTGTCCTGAATTTCCAACCTGAATGAAAGATTACATGAACGATTTAATCTTAAATTGAATTCAGATTCACTACATTGAGAATTTCAGTGCGACACTGCTTAATTTTCATAAAATTTATAACAGTGAACAGAGAGAGAAGGTGGATAAAAATTACCTCGAAAATCGTGAAAAATTTTACTATACGTATGGCAATCGTGGAGGGGAATGAAATTCAGTGAAAAAATACTGATTTTTAGTGGATATCGTACGATTTTCTCGGTAAAAAAATAGATCTGTGGATGCCAAAATTATCCTCCTGCTTAGTAAAATTATCCTTCTGTGTAAAATTTCCCACACCGGCAGGGAATTGTTTGTCTTGTACCCATCTGAAGGTCATGGGGATGGACGGAAGTGAATTTTTACCAAACGGGTTCGGTAAGAATCATTTTCCGTTACAGAAAAAATATAGGAAAAATTGGAGCAATTATTCACGTTCACTGGGATCATTTTTGATGAGATACAGGGTGAATTTTACAGTTTCGGTACAAATCACCTTCACGTTCAGTAAAATTTCCCGGGACAACGAAGTACACTGTTTAAAAAAAAATGAATTTTCATGGACAGTTGACGGCTAATTTTCAGGACAGTGACACTGAATGCGATTTAAGGGAGGAAAAATCATGAAATTTCAGGTTTCACGGAAAATTCAGTAAAATTCCCGAATTTTAAGCCGCATAAAGACAAGAATTCCGTAATTCATTTGAGTTTTCAATCTCATATGAATATGCAGTTCCAAATTACATTAAATTTTCAGTGAAATCTGAAATTTCATGATTTTTTCCCCCTAATTCGCATTCAGTGTCACTGTCCTGAAAATTCAAGAATATATTTACCGGAATTTTCTAGTTTTCTATTCATTTTTAGGGAAAAATGGAACTGAAATTTACAGTTCTCTTTGATTTTTCCACGAAATTCGGAATTTTTAATTACGAAATTCCTTGTAATTTCAATGGTAATTCAATTCGATAAAAATGACCAAAAAGTGTACCTCCCGGTGGGATAAAATGGATGCTTTAGACTTTTTTAAAATTATTCATAAGTCAGAAACAAATTTATCAATTGAGCTCAGTTTAGGCTCGTCACAAAGGGGCAGAATTGTTCTTTGTATTGAAAAAAAAAATTAAATTTTATCACCATTTCAACCCTTCATTAACATTTAAAAAACAGTCAACTGTCCGTTCTACCCCAACCTGCCCTACCAGAAATTTCAGACAAAAATTTTTAACAGTGTAAAATTCACTATTAATCTTGCACTTTTTTTCCTACTTAAGGTGACAAAGTACTGGAAATCGAGGTTGCTCCACGATTACTTGACTCATATGGTAATTTTTCTCCAACTTTTTTCTCCGTATAATCAGAAAACAATCTATAATCATTTAAAATGCATCCTCATCAAGAAAACATGCCATACCTCGAAAGCTACTCCGGTTCGCCTGTTTTCCATTAAGGGTCAGATTTCCCTGACTTTTCAACTCCCCTTGTAACCTTTAATATCGATTTCATACACAGTAATAGTCTTTCACTCCCCCTTTTACATTTCCCTGCGACGAATGTCAGTTCATAAATCACAAAAGTCGGGAAATGCTTTTATTGCCGTGTGACATGGGATATTTTATCGAGCCCAGTGACATGAACGATGTCATTGGCATCATTATTCTTAATTTAAGTAAAAAGTTTTCTCTGCGAACTCTTCCGACACTATTAGGCCACCACAGGATCGTAAAGCCGATGCCTAGTACCACTCAAATCTATCTGAGTGCTTCAGAGAATTGGATTGCCCCCCAATAACAGCCAGAACAATATCCCGAGGTCCTTCCTCAACGTGCATACACATCATAGGAATAATTCACGTGACCAGGCGTACGTGAGCCGCCAATTACAGCCGTAAATTCGAAGCGGTAGCGCACAAACTTGTGGGGGGGAAATTGAGCCCTCGAAAGTTTATCATCGCTGGGATCATCACCCTAAGGGTTGGATAGTGGTCAATATAACTCGGAAGGTATAGAAAGTTTCGGTTTAAATCGAGGAGCACTCTGAGGTGGATTATATACAGGGTTTGCATTCCATTTTATAGGGAGAAAAACAAAATTTTAAGCTAACGATATTGTTTTTTGTTCAAGAAACAATTTTTCTCATTTCATAAAATTGAAAAGACTTGGAAGGAAGACCTTTACTTTTGAATTTGACAAAAAAAGTTTTGCCTCAACTATTTTCGATATTACAACAGTGGATTTTAAAAATAAAATGTGCTTTCAATTATTCTATTAGTTCCGATCTCGACAAGCTCTCAAACAATGAAAATTAGAATTCCACAGGAAACTTCTTCTTGCACGCTGGAATATTAAAATCAAGTGAACAAACGCAAGATACGTATTCTTCTACTTTTATAAATAATACATCTAAAGAAAAAAGTACTTCTCACCAGTACCGATCGGTACTTGGGGGAAGTTCACTTGTGAAAAGGTCGAAAAATACTTGTCTCAAGTACTTTTTGTATCCTTGAGTGAAGTAGCTTCACTACTTTCTGCCAGTACTTTTAGTACTTTTTACAAGTACTAAAGGTACTGATGAAAATTAATTTTTGAACTTCAATCAAGGGCTTTTATGACTTAATTTCAGTACTTCCAATTGATTACTTCAATGAGAAAAGCGAATATTATCGACGGATAAAGTGGAATTTCCATACTGCATGATTCATTCCAATACAGAATTGCACTTGAACGAAAAACAATATCCTCAATTTCAGGAAGAATTTTTCCACTTCCGAAATTGTTTCTTCGCGGTGTCAGGGGTGTAAGAGGTTCAGGTAAGGGTTCAGGGAGGTTCAGCAAGCATGGGATTACCTGCCGAAACTGTCGTATTCCACCGTTGATCCTGAGCGAATCAGCGGCAATTCCCGCGATTCCATCGCCAGGCTCACGCAGTTGCCTGAGTGATGCACTTGGTGCAGCACCTGCATGCAGGGGGCAGCATGAACCCGAGCAACAGCATGCAGACGCCTCTGGCTGTGAACTCTGTCGAATAATCCGTGCACTGGGTGATGTAGTCACGAGAACTGGTGGTGGTGGTGCTTGACACGGACAGCAGTGGTAGCCGCTCTTGACGCTTTCCCTTTAAAACAATGTTTCGTCGTGTTGATTATGAAATATTCGCTTCAACAAACTTCGAGGTTTCAGTCGTTATCTGGTTCTTGTGTTTTTTTTATTGGTGACTCGTATTTTTTGTCCCTCTTTAACTCGGGGGAATTTTATGGATGAGCCTGTTTGGGTACATTGGAGACGATAATTGAAATTTTTATGACAACATCGTGAGAATGATGGGACGACGAGTGAGAGACATCGGGGCGATTTTATCTCACCGTCATCGCCAGATGCTCGAGAGCTTTAAAATTAGATTTTACTCTTTTCAGTTGAAGTTGGATTTGTTTGATTACTTCAGACTTTTTTTTTCTTTTGTGATATTTTCCACTGTCTCGAGAATGAAATGAGATTTCTAACCGATAGAGAATGATTGTGTATCGATGATCCGGGGGGATTTATCTGATGGTTTTTTCCCTCGTCAATTGTACTTTTGTTATTTCTGGTATTATCTCATCTCCTATTTCGAGGGAGGATTCAGACGGGGCTGTGAGTGTTCGGAGGATTCTAACGTGAAAAGCAGATGGAGAAAAATGTGTAACGGAAGTAGTCTGGAGGATATGGGTAGGAATTATTGAACAAATTGTAGTCGTCAGGCAGAATTTCTTACGACTTGACGTTAAACTGGACTGTTTTTTATCGGGAAAACAATATTTTCGCATTGGAATTTTTACTTTTGGCCATTTCAAGTCTCGCGAACCCAGAGAAATGGTTTATTTCAATTAAATAAGTGGATTTATTCAAACACTTCTCAATAAAACTTATATTCAAACACAAAGAAATAGTTTCAGTTGAAATAAATATTTTTTTTTTCAAAATAGACAAATGCTTCTTTGATTCGAATGAAGATTTCATCAGTTAGACATAAAATCGTCCGTTGAATAGTGAATAGAATGCATTTATTAACATGTCATAATCTTTTATTTCGATTTCATAGATCATGAATTTGACTATAAGAGAGGATTTATTCGGAATGAATAGATTATTTATTTTATATGATCAAAAATTTATTGTTTGAATAAACATATGAGTTCATTAATTTTCAACAAAAGTATCATTGAAATGAACAGATAAATGTCAAATAAAGAGTTTTATTTGTTTCAAATGCATCATTTCTGTGGGTGAATCACAATAAGCTCCCAAGGAAACGAAGGAAATTTCTAATACTCACTGAAAAATACAGTTTTATTCAACTGTCTTTGGATAATTGTCATGAATTAAACCAAAACGAATGTTTCAACAACAAAAAAAGGTCAAATAATATTTTTAAGAAATACTGCCATGAACAATACATTTACACTCAGAAAAACATCTTTATTTTGAGAGTTCAAAGATCTTAAATTGAAACTTTCGAAAATCTCAAGTCGAGAGTTTCAGACCTTAATTTAAGATGTTCGAAAAAAATGCTCAAATGGAAATAAGTTTTTTTGGGTGCACAGTGAGATAAATTTTTCAGAATGAAGAAGGGAATCGGAGAAAGAAGTTGGATAAAAATTGCCGGAAAAATCTTCACAAATTTTACTACACGAATGGTAATCGGGGAGGGAAATATAATTCAGTGAAAAACAATGGTTCTTGGTGGATATCTTACGATTTTCTCGGTAAAAAATACATCTATGGATGCAAAACTGATCCTCCTGTTCAGTAGAATTTGTGAAAACGGATTCGGTAAAAATCATTTTCCGTTACAGAAAAATTATACGAAAAATTGGAGCAATTATTCCCGTTCACTGGGATAATTATGATGGGACACAGAGTAAACTTTACAGTTTCAGTATAAATCACCCATAACCACGCATTTTTTCTCCTATTTAAGGTAAAAAACTACAGGAAATTGAGAGTGCTCCACGATTACTTGACTTGTTTGGTAATTTTTCCTCAACTTTTTTCTCCGTGGGTCATCCTACGTTTCATATTGATTACACTGTTAGAAATTTCTTGAAATTTCAGTCATAGCATCATCTGAATTTTCGATGTTGTGAGGTTGAATTCAGTAGTGAAGCGGTAAGCGGTTCAAGTCAATTTCGACGATTGGTCAGTTTTCAATGAATATCTCGGAATCTAAGGCAGGTAGCGAAATTTTTGTTGTAACATTTTTTACAGCTCTCAATTCACTCTACAAAAAAGGGTTATTACAAAAACTTCACTCTCTCCCTTAAATTCGGAGATATTTCTTGAAAACTCAGCGAAGAGCTAAGTCCACATAAATCGTATTACCGCTTCGCCACTGAATTCAATTTCAAATCAAAGCCTTCACTAAGTTTCTCATTCATCTTGAAAATTCAAGAAAATTGGGTTTTTCATGTTGAATAATCATTGACTTTTCAATGAAGGCGGGAATTTCCAAACTCATCATGAAAATTAAATATCACATAGAATTCAATTTTCAATAGATTGAGAATTCCGAAAAGTTATGGCTTGAATTTTCAAAATTTTGAAGGTTCTTCAGTGCTCTATGGACCTGAAAATCGAGAATTATTTGAATATTCAAGAAATCAACTGACGAATCGTCATATACAGAAATTTCATGTAATTTTGTCGTTGTTAAAAAATTCAAGCTTTTGCACTTGAAATTTCAAGAGGAATTTTCTAACAGTGTAAAATCCCCCAAAAAAGAATTTCGCTACACGTGTTTCCTCTGCATCAAAGCAATTTTTACTACATTTTTCTCTCTATGTAGAAAATTTCTCTTCGAAAATAACAAGCCATAAATGACAAGAAATGGTAGTTCAACCCAATTACGCGCCCCTATTCTCACTCTATTATGACACTTCCCCCACTCTTCGTTACAGAAACCCACTGTTGCACCCTCGATGAAACAACGGAGTACTTTGTGTCAAGTAGCGTTCCAATTTTCTCTGATAAACGTCGAGGAGTATACAGCAGCATCAGCAGGCTCAACCCGGTCAGACTCAGCGAGTTTTGACCTTTGCAAAGGTGACCTTTTAACTCAATTTAACAGTTACTTTAAACTCAATTCATCATGTTTTTAGAACTTAAGTCTCGTGGGTATCTGATCCTCCATGTAAAACGGCTTTGATTGATCGACGTCTAAACTGTCCCAAACAGCATTACAAAATACCGGAAGTTGTGGCAAGCACCGAATTATTCAGCAGTTCGATATTCAAACTGAACCATTGGGGAAAAGCCTTCGTACTGATAGGATCGGTGAATGACTGCCTCGCAGGAATATTCTCAATTTATAAATAATTTTCCTTGTTTGAAAACTTGACGAGATAGAAAGTTGGGATCAATATCATCAAAGGGGTAGGAAATTATACGGTATATGAAAGAAAGATTGATTCCATTCAACGAAAATTTGTTTATCAAGATCTTGGAAGTCGGTAATCATGAATAATTAATAATCCGCAATAATCCTGCACTGTTAAATTTTTTTGGCAGTTTTTTCCGTGCCAAATTCCGAAAATTTTTATTGTGCTCAAGTTCCACTGAAATTTCAGGAAATCTTGTCATTGAAAAATCCATTGAATATTCCATTGATTTTCTGTTCAAATGATCTGGAAATCAATAAAATACTTGATTTTTCAGTTCAATTATTCTGTAAAAATTCAGAAAATTCAGGGAAAAATGGAAAAGTTATGTAATTTTGTTTCTGAATATTCATGTTCCACTGAAAATTCTATCAAGTTATGAAATTCCTATCTTATTCCTACTGAAAACTCATGAATTTCTATGAATTCTACTTAAAACTTGAAATTTCATAACCATTTTTTCCCTAAATTCGATTCAATGTCACTCAAATGAGATGTACTAGAATATCTTCCAGGAAATTTCAAAAAATTTATAACAGTGTATTATTTCTAACAGTATGTTGTTTCTAACGTGAAGGTTATTGAACAGTAAGAAAAATTCATCCCACAATGAAAAAAGTAATACCCAAAAAAACGTTTAAAAATTTTAAAAAAACGAAACACTGAAAAAACGTTCAACTCTATTGATCACTCCAGTCGTTTCTCTTGAGATCGTTTGACCTTCAACCTTTAACCTTTAGTTCATTCGACCCTTCACATCACCCTCTTGGGTATCAATGAAAACTCCCAATCTCGTCAGTTTTTAAACAGGAAATATTATTCTCGAATCAATTGAAAAAAAGTGCTGAGTTTTCGCATGCATTGGTATAACGTATGGATAAAATCTCCCCTAACCTGGAGAAGAGATCCTGAAAAACAATCGTACTAAGAATAAAGGTAAAAATAAAATTCTGAAATATAAAATTCTAAACGATGTCAAAACTGATTGAAAATGCTTCTGATAAATCAAAAATAACTGAGAAGAAGAAAGGAAGATTTTTAACATTAATACCGTCTTATTACAATGTTTAATTCCCTATCGATTATTTCACAGGATTATTCCAGCCAGGGGGTTGTTTCTGTCAAGATTAAATGAAATGCTACCTGACACATGGACCCCGGACGTGAAAGATTAATGCGAGGATCATTCCACGTATGAACGGTCAGATCAGAGAGAAAAAAGTTTTGATTCTTAGGGACATGTCGCTGATTTTCATGGATCCATCCCTAATTTTTAATATCCATATTATATCAATTGTTAGGAATCTATCACCAAACTTCAGTGATAGCAATCGTTGATGATCAAGGTCAGGGAAGGGTGTGCCTGTACCGCCCACCTGAAGAGAAATGTCAATTTTGTATCTTAAACCTTTACTGTGAATAAGAAAAAGTATTTTGGAGTCTTGTATAATTATTCAATACGTTGTTTCTTAAGTGTAGAGACTGAACTCTTTCTAGAATTTACAAAATGAATAAAAAAGCAAAAAAAAGACCAAATCGGGCCGCATTGCCCGCCCGCAGGTAGCACCGCTGAACTAAATTATCAATAATTATTAATCCGAGTTGCGTAAAGAGTTCAAATATGGCTCAAATTACCCAAGAAAATTTCAAGAAACGTATAATAGCAGTTTTGTAATACAATTTGGGTATTAAAACTACAAAAAACCTTATTTACTGATTTGTGTTTTTTTTTCATGCTTGAGGATGTTTAAAAAAAAAGACAATTGACTAAATAAATCATTCATGTTACAAATTATTTTTCTCATAAAATTAGAAATGTTATAGCGTACTTTTCCGGTCTCAAAAATAATAATTAAAGAAAATGTTCATAGATAACGGAGGACTTATGACTGCAGTGGTAACAGTCACATTTTGATCAGGCGACATGGCACGCTTCGGCTAGTAGTGGAATTGTAACAGTGAGATGAATGTTTGTGTGTGTTATACGTGTCCATATGCTTCCGGCACTGAATTATCGTCACCGACTTTACCAACCTCGATCAGCTGTTGTGCGGTGTTGTCGCGATGCTCGATTCGTAATGGCGGTCAAATTTTTTTTAGAGGAATTCGAAAATCAATCGAAGATATCACGCGTGCATGGCCCGGTCCCCTGCTTGTTTTCGCCGGCGATAGTTTCTCCATAGTTTAAAGTAAATGGCTTGTGTTTTTTTTTTCAATATCTTGAGTGTCTAACCCACGCAACATCTCGATCAAAGTTCACACGGTCGCGTTCCTTCCCTAAGCGTAATGTTACAAGAAGTGATTTTCAGAAATTAATTTCTCACTAGGATGCCCCGACGGAAGGGTTAATATTATTACTAACGTGTGGCTCAAATATGAACCTGGCATATGAGACAATATCAAAATTATGGTGAATAATGTGGGTTTTCGCTAAACATCCTTAAAGTGCTAGATGGAGTTGAATTTTTCGAAAAACTACATCGTTCCGTGAAGTCAACCATCTTAAAAAAAAATGCAAAGCTTGTAATTGTGAAAACCCGCGAGCGGTACAGGCGTTCCCTCCCCTATTCTCGTCAGTGTCCAGTATCACCAATAATTGGTAACAGATTCTTAAAAATCAGCGGCATATCCCTGAAAATCAGCGACATTTTCCAAATAATGAAAAATTTTTTTTCTCCGTAATGAATGGAATTTTGGTGATACAACCTACCTGGATACGCTGCGTGCCAGATGAAGGGCAGATGAGGGTGCGAGGGAGTCTCGTCTGTCGCATCGGCAACGGTTGTACTGATGCGATGTCTGTCTGGTGCGATAAAGAGTGGTGGTTGGATGATGTGATGTGCATTGTTGATGCTGATTGTCACCATCGAGACGACAGTGCAATTCGATATCCGGTACTGATCTAGTCGATGGATCCTCATTTGTCGCACTCTCCTCCGACCCGCCAAGACCAGACACCGATAACTGTGGTGATGCAACGAGAAATGTTGCACGATCCTGGCGCGTTAATACGGGTTTTCCCTGTGATCCAGCCGCAACAACAACTGGAGGCGGTGGTGCACGGCTCAGCAGTGCTGCGGTTTCCTCACTACTACCGTACTCATTGCCATTTCCACCCTCCTGTGAACCGGCATTTCCATTTGTGTTCATGACTAATACTCCACTGCTTCTTTTAATCAGTCCCGTCACGTCGCCATCTCCTACAATACCAGAACGGGCAGATGCATAACATTAGATTCGGTGATTGGATGACTCGCTGTTCATTTCTTTATTCAACTGTTACATTTTAATTGGTTTTAAGATTACTGGAAGGTCATGCAGAAGTTATAGCTACAGTTCGTTCGTTGGTCTCTCAGAAATGAAGACCAAATGTTTGATGTTGGTTGAAGATACCAGAAGTCACAATAGAAAATTTATACAAAAGATGCAGCGAGGGGATCTAGGGCTGTGGGATTATAGTGAACTCATGTGGAGGCACTAAATACAGTTACTCCGCTTGCAAAAGACTATGCTAAACTGTCCCAAACAGCATTACCAAATACCGGAAGTTGTGGCAAGCACCGAATTATTCAGCAGTTCGATATTCAAACTGAACCAGTTGGGAAACGCCTTCGTACTGATAGGATCGGTGAATGAATGCCTCACAGGAAATATCTCCATTTATAAGTAATTTTTCTTGTTTGAACACTTGACGAAATAGAAAATTGTGATCAATATCATTAAAGGGATAAGAAATTTCACGGCATATGAGAGAAGGATTGATTCCGTTCAACGAAAATTTGTTTACCAAGATCTCGGGAGTCTGCACGAAAAAAAAAGAAATATTCGAATCAGGAACGACAAGATCGGTAATGTTAATCATCAATATTGTTATCAATCGGGTAATCATTAATAATTAATAATCTGCAATAATTCTACACTGTTAAAAATTTTTGTGTTTTTTCCGTGCCAAATTCTGGAAATTTCTATCGTGTTCAAGTTCCACTGAAGTTTCAGAAAATCTTGTCATTAAAAAAACAAATATTCCATTGATTTTCCGTTCAAATGATCTGAAAATCAATAAAATACTTGATTTTTCAGTTCAATCATTCTGTGGAAATTTCGAAGTCAGAAAAATTCAGGGATAAATTGAAAATTCATGTCATTTTCTTTCTCAATATTTATATTCCACTGAAAAATCAATCAAGTTGTGAAAATTGATGTGGAGGCAATAAATACAGTTACTTCGCTCGCAAAAGACTATGCTAACTGGGAATTCCGAGTCTATACTGCAGAAACCACAATTGAGAACTCATACACGAAGTCTGGACAGTCAATCAATTATTGTGATTACTGAAATCTTATGCAGAGGGGATAGCTACAGTTGCTTCATACGTCGACAGATAGTCCCCATCAAAGTAGAAGACACACAGTTTGATGTTGACTGAAGCTGTTCGAGCACAGCAGCAGGTGCAATAGGAAACTCATATAAAAGATTTGGGGATTGAGGATTGGGATCTACGACTGTCGGTTCAATCGTAGACTGTTCAACTCAAGGAAAAGATGGAGTGTAAATATAAGGGACCGATTAAATATTTGCCATTGGTAAAACTTCGTATCTTCTTTGGTACGAGCAAGCGGCAATGCAAATCTCTCGCTAACTTCGACAAACACCTGGCACATGAGGCGATGCGATTACTTCAGGTTCAGTTCCTTAAGCCCTCGGACAGGAGACTTGGGAGAGGTGAGTCGGTAATAGTACATTACGCAACTAGTGCGGAAAGCAGGCGGTTACTCACGAGGGCGGCTCAGCCGCCGTAATAGTATACGTGTTGCGTATACTATTTTATATGATAAATGCGTGATGAAGTCTGGGGGCGAAGGGGGGGGGGGGTGGGGGGCTGGGCCCCCACGAGAAAAGGGGGTCCAGGGGG